AAAAAAAAAAAAAAAAAAAAAAAAAAAAAAAAAAAAAATACAAAAAAAAAAAGAAACAGAAAGAACGTAGAACGAACGAGCGAGCAGCGCGTAGATGTATGTATGTTTACAGTTAAGGCAGAGAAAGATAAATAATATATTTTTCAAATGGATATATATGTATATTGATATAGCTTAAGCGTTTATTCATACTAAAATAATAAATGATATATATATATACACACACACATGTATATGTGTAAATGTATGTAATTGTATTATAAGCAAAAGTAACGGAGAAGCAACACAGCAAACAATGTGTTCGAAAAACCTTTTAAATTGTTAAGCATTCAAATCGTATACTTCTATGCCTAAATTTAGTACAACAAAAACAAGTAATGTATCTGTAAACATAAACCCTTATTCATAATTTCTAGAAAACTAAACAAAAATTGCAGAGAATTGCTAAAAGCAAACTAAAAATCGAATCGCAAATCTATGCTAAACGAACGACGAAAGCTGTGCGTGCACTGTGTACAAAGAATAAAATAAGTTTTTGTTTTGTAATGCTTTTATAGACCCTAAATGATTTTTGACAAACAGTTATTAATTTTCAAAATTTTTAACTGGCCTCGGAATAAAATTTGTATATAAAGAAATTGTAAAAAAAATATTGCTAGAGGCATAGGCTCTTCCATAATTCGCTAAGTTTTACGGTGGTAAAGCAAATTATTTGAAAAGTACAGTTAAAAGAGAAAGCTGGCGATCTTTGCTACAAACTTTTCCTATGTGTGGTATGTTTACGTATTAATTTCGTTTCGATAATGGCAGATACGTTTTTTTTTGGGGGGAAAAATTCAAAAAACAACATTTTTAATAATTTCAAAATTTGACGATTTTTTTTATTGAGATTAGAGCATTTTTTGAGGTTATAACGGAAAAAGATTGACAAAAGTATTTATTTGCTTTAATTTGTTTAATAAATGTGAGTTAAAAATTTTTTCCATGGAACAAAAAATCAAAAAAGCAGAAGAGATTTCATTTAATTAAAATATTAATGGAACATTTTTCGAGCTGCTTTGAAACAAAACAAACTATTCAATAAGGGAATATTAAACCGAATAAATTACTTCACTATTTTATCTTACATTTTGTTTTACATTTGTTATTTTTCTTTCTTTATTTTATTTTTTTAATTTAACAATTTTTTAGACAACATTAGTTTTCATTTCTTTCTTTTTGTGATAATTTTAGTTATGTTTTTGATTCAATTTTTTTACCTCTTAATTAACTTTTAATGTTATTATTTATTTCTTTGTTTTAATTTAAAAATTTTAGACAACATTATTGTGGAATTTTATTTTATTTTATTTTTTGATAATCTTATACAATGTGTTTGATTTATTTTTATTCATTTTTTCATTTATTGCCATTTTTTGTTTATGCATCTTTACTTATTTAATATACATATATATTTTTTTTTGTTTAAGTGAATTGTGCATATAAACAATATCGAAGGCAAAATGTTGAAATTTTTTTTCTACAAAAAAACCATTTAGGAGTTTTAAAAATACTAATAATATTTTGAAAATTGTCTAAACTTTTATTAGAAATATCAAGTACTACTCTTTGAGGCGAATTTTTTGTAACACTACTAGAACAACATTTTTTAATTAAATATTTTTTATTTAGGTATTCCTTTTATTTCTTAGCATTTTATATATTTTTATTACTTTTTTTATCTTATTCTTATTTTTTTATGAAACACATTGAGAACGTATTTCGAATTTTGATATTTACTATTGGTAATTAAAATTTGAAATGAATACGAATTGCAAAATAGTTTTTCGAAATTTTCGTTCACACCTATATATTTTACAAAACCACTTAACTCGACTTAGTTTTTGCACATTCCCAAGCTGTAAATACAATTTTCTACAAATTAACTATTTAAAGTTGTCGGTCAGGGGAAATGTGCAAAAAATCAGTTTAAAATATTTAAATTAATTATTTAAAAAAAAAAATGTTTGATTGGCTTTGCCATCCGATATTTGTTATTATTTTACTTGCCTTGGCCAAAAATGGACTTGAGAATGTAGGAAGGTAATATTCGCTTTACTAGCAAACATGTATGCGACTAAGAGCTTAGAAGCTTAAAGGCTAGTACTCTACAGAAAATGCGCAGCTGCATCACACATGTGAGAATCAGAGAAATAGAAGCATGGCTCAGTGCTACTTATTAGTGCAAAATTTTGACCTCGGTTTTGAAATTATTACTTGCTTCTTTTATTTTTGGGTGAAATACATAAATAAACAGGCTAAGAGAACATAAAAAATATTAATTGTCACGATTTTAGAATTTTTCTTACATTCCCTTGGTTTATAACAGTTATTTAGATAACGAGGTTTAGGCGTTTTTAGTCCTTTGAGCCTCGAAATCTTCACATATACTTCCGCTACTTTTTCTTTACTTAAAAAATTATCCTTCTATGTCAAAGAAAAAATTATTTTTGTTATGTGTTTTTTACATCATAACTTTTCAGATCTATTAAATTCTTTTCTTTTTTTGAATTAGAACTGCATTCATGTACACACACAAACGCATAGCTTTCGTAAGAGTAGAAAAAAGTAATTAAAAAAAGTTATATACAAAAATCCAATAACAAAAATAAAAAAAAACTTTTGCTGCTTATAAATGTGTAAATAAAGTTAACTACCTGATTTTTCGAAAATTTTAAGCTAAAGAAATATTAAAATAAATGCATACAATAAGAAATCTGTACACAAAATTATATATATGTCAAAAATTACTAAAACAAAAACAAAAACACGAACGAAAAAAAGAAGGAAAAAATCCTAATACATATTTACAACCACACTTACATGTATACATAATTATTTACTAAATTTGTTGACGATTGTATGATTAATGTTAAATAGTGTTCTAATGTTATTAATTGTTATAATTAGTGTATTATAATGTACATTTATATGCATACAATATATAATATGTTTGTACTATATATGTATGTATGTAGTAGATATATATGTAATTAGGGCTTTATCGGTTTAAGTAGTCTTTAATCGCAAATTTTTGAAAATTTCATAAAAATCGTTTTGTTGTTGTTGTTTATTTCTGCCTTTCACTACTTTTTATATACATATATGTACACATAATTACACACACACACAAACAAATACAATTGATGCTCTTTTAAGAGATTTTGTGTATTTTTTTTTCTTATTTCAAAAAATAAAAAAATCATTCTCTTATTAATACTATTATTATTATTATTATAAATATATGTATATGTTTGTATATTAGTCTTAAGGTTTATAATAGTATAGGTGTACAAAAGAAATAATGATAAATAAAGCAAAAACTATTTGAAAATAATGCAAAACAAAATTTTAGCTAGAAACCTTTGCTCCCGACAACAAACAAAAACAACATAAGTAACAGTAATTTATTTCAAAGTGTCCTACGCGTTGTTGTTGTAGTTGCAGTGCGCCTATCAAATAAGTGCAATGCATATGCGGCAACACAAATCCACACATACATACACACATACACACGCAAATGCCTAACTGTCTTGTATGCTTACTAAATTGTTTATAATTAAAAGTCAATATGCATGGATGTTCGTTTGTATGTATGTATGTATGTATGTGTGAAAATGTTTTTTTCTAGCATTAACCTTTGTGTTCAACGAATAACTGTTCAGCTGCAATTCAGCACATGCATCCATACATATGTACATATGCAAAACACAAGTGAAGTGATAAATAGAAGGTTTGGAATTAAAGACAAACATTAAAAACATAAAATGAAATTAATAAAAAACAAATTTATTTCAAAAAAAAATTAAAAAACAAATGTTCAAAAAAAAAGTAATAAAAAATGTATATATATAAAAAAAATAATAAAACAAGAAATTGAAAATACAAAGTGCATATTAAAAGTATACGTACACGTAAGCAACCAGTTGTTATTGAAATATAACACAAAAACACCCCACTGCTATTACTTACTGGCTTAAGTGTAATTTTCTCAGCTATAATATTATGTTAATTAAATATACAAATGTATATACAGTTATGCAAATATGCATACTAAAATTTGAAAATTAAATGTAAGTGAAGCGCGTACCTTATAATTGTATCAAGTGAACGACTTATGGAAGTATACATA